ACCAAGAAAATGAAGGTCACACGACGCTTGCTCAATGGGGAACAAGTAGAAAAGACCCTCGAAATCCATGTCAGTCCCGGACAGAAAGCCGGAACCAAGTTCCGATTCAAAGGAGAAGGAAATGAACGACCAAACGGAGAATCCCAAGACTTGGTGTTTGTCATTGAAGAACTACCACACGAACGCTTCACCAGAGACGGAAATGACCTCGTCACTACCGAAAAGATAACACTATTAGAAGCCCTGACTGGTACAGGTGGCACACGACAAATACGTGTTCCCGATGGACGCAGGCCTTCCGTCACTATACCCGCCTCTGTGGTCAAACCGGGCTCTCAAACAAGGGTACCAGGATTTGGTATGCCTATTCGAAAAGCCGGCGAGACAAAGCAAAATGGGGATCTCATTGTAAAATGGGACATTGAGTTCCCAGACCGCCTGACGAGCAGTCAAAAAGAAGGCTTGAAGAAAATTTTAGGCTAGACGAGAGTACACAAGTGCTGTGTACCTCTCAACTTATGACGCTTTCATTTTTTATTGTTGGTTCGATCATTTTATTCTACCCTGTACTTGATAACGCATTTTTTTGTAATCTACCAATTGACCCACAAGAACGAGCTTGGTTGCGCAATAGTTCCGTTAGGTAAATGAGCCACTTCGGAAAGGTACCCTAGTTTTGCTGGAACCCTCTTGAACACTTTGATACCACCACCGTTCATTCCTGCCGCTATAACATATTCCTTCTTGGGACCCACGAACTCCATACCCCTGATATAGTTGAGCCCAGTTCTGACATATGCCACTGGCTTCAGTTTAGGGGTTGTTTCAAGGACCGTGATAGCATCCCCTTCTGGATGTGGGTCGTTCCTATTCGACGCATACAAGAGCGGTGTCGGAGACTCGGCATAGAGAAGTTCTGCAGCCGCAAAAGGAGCTGAGGGGTCTGAGTCAGGTGGAGTGATAGATTGAGTTTTTACAAAGGCCGCGTTTTTCAGACCAGTTGCTGATAGTGTGAATTGTGTGATATTATTCGATAGTTCGCAAATTGTGTAGAAAGCACGACCTGTTTCAGAGAAAATACATCAGTATGACGATATTTGATCAACTTGAACGACTTACCAACGATCACTGAATGGCGGGGTCCATTTCCTGGCTTTTCGGAGATAGAGTCATGAGTTGTCCACGCTTTCGTTTTATTCAGTCCTAGTTGCCAGATTTTATCGGAGCCCAGATCTGTCACAATAATATCTTGGC